TAGTGGTTTCTTTCAGGGTGGAACATGGTATGTCACTCACAGGTCTAATAGGATAAGCATTTATATGAGTAAAAAAGTAAATAACAAGCAGAGGGATTGTGTTGACATTGAATTATAGTATATCAGCAATTCTAATAAGAAGCCTGCTGTTTCTCATAGAACCCTTCCCCTTTCCATATGATTCAGTCTCTGGACATTGTTCTCTGACTTGGTATTTCATTTAGTTCACAGATCTTTTTCATTTTTGGTGGGGGGTCATCCAGAATAGTGGTTTAATTGGTTTAGGGAACTCCTAGTAAGAAAATTCCTTCTACCAATGCATATCACCTACTCTTTTCCAATTTATACTCTTAGAAGCACAAACAGTTAAGTGACTTATCCATATCTATGTCTCAACAGATCAAAAATGATTCTGTCATCTCAAATTTGAGAGAATTTCCTGGGGTCACTGAGCCTACACCTACACATACAAGTCATAGCCCAGGACTTTGCGTGTTGGATTCCATTTTGTGAGAGTACGGATTGCTTCATTCTTTATATTTGTATACCCAGCACTTACAGTGCCTGGCATGTAGTGTGTGGTTAAAAAATACTTGTTGATTGACTGAATAACTCTGGAGATGTGTCACCTTTTCTACTGGAGTAGAGTAGCTTGCCCAAAGTAACAGATACAGATTCTGAGCTTAGATGTCCTTCCTTCTTGTCAGGGGACTGTAGGCTCTGTCACGAGGATATTTAGTCATGGGTCTCAGCAACCCCGAGACATTTACACTTCTTATTTACAAAGACATTTGTAAATAAGAAACCTTGATGTAACAAAAATCTTAGAAATGAGGGAGACTGGTAAACATACCTTGAAGTGATAATAAAATATTTACATATTTGATTTTCTACCAACAGTACAAAAAAAAAAAGCTCACCTTGAAAAATGGCCTCTGTAAGTTAATGATATATGTATGATGATATATAAATCTACCTCATGCATACCATGGTGGCATTCATTTCTCTAACTGAATATAACCTATATATCAATATTGATGAGATTCCAATCAATCGACCGATAATCATTGATCATGGATTCACTGGGATGCTGGAGTGTAACTTGGACAGAATAGAGGATGTTAAGTATGCCAATGTTTGCCCAGGAAATCTGATGTAACAGTTAAAACTTGAGCACAAGGTGAGCTCCACTTGGCCAACTATCTCTGTCCTGGCCATGAAGCTGATTTTATCTGCTGAGCACAGTCTGTTGTGTACGAGGGGATTTTGTTCCGGTCCTTTAGCAGATGAACAATCAAAGGCCAAACCACAATAAGACATTTTGGCCACACTGAAAAATCTGTAAGTAAAGCATGCAAATTCCCCCAACAAAAATATCAGATAATACACTTTTACTTTTTGTTATTTACAAAAGAGATGCATATATGTTTATGATTCTCTTGGTGCTCAACAAAGGCAAGTCTGCTTAGGAGTTATGTTAAACTATATCAGTGTGCCTGTCTCCTCATGCCCTCTGTTTTACCCTTGGCTGTTAGTTAAACTATGACATTAAAAGGATACCTTGGGTTGTTTAGTTATTGTTCATTAGGCATTTTATCATGTCCAACTCTTTGTGACCCCATTTGGGATTTTCTTGGCAAAGGTACTGGAGTGGTTTGTCATTTCCTTCTTCAGCTCATTTTACAGAAGAGGAAACTGAGGCAAATAGGGTTAAGTGATTTGCCTAGGGTCACACAGCTAGTGAGTGAGACTAGATTTGAACTTAGGTCTTCCTGACTCCAGGTCCAGCACTCTATCCACTGCACCACTTAGCTTCCCTGAAGTGATAATTAAATATTCACATATTGAATTTTATACCAATAATACATAAAAGAGGCTCACCTTGAAAATGACACCTATAAGTCTAAGATATGTGTGTGTATACACACATGCATATATGTAGATGTGTGTATACATACATATATATAGTGGTGTGGGTGTTTATATAACATTAGAGTCAGACATGACTAAAACAACTGAACAACAAAAACGAGCTATCACACCTCAGAAATTGGCAAATGCTACAGACCAGGGCTTGATGTGTTTTGTAGATTGTTTAGACTTAGGAAAGTGATGAGGGTAAAGTTAATAACAAAGATTAAATTTACAAGTATGTTGTGGGTATATTTTTCCCCTCAGAGAGCCTGTTGTTAAACATTTACCAGCAATCCCTTGAGCCTTGAGTTCCACTGGTAAAACCCTAAGGTTTTACCCTGGGGTCACGTTCATACCATGATGAGACATTGGAGGAAGAATTTGATGTTTAGGAAATGTATGTATTCAATAGTCTACCTGTTAGATCTGTGGCGAAGGGAAGGAGTCATGACCAAATAAGAGATAGAGAGCATTACTAAATGTAAAATAGATAATTTGCTTATAATGTCACCCTTTATGTCTAAATCATGTACCCATTTTGACCTTACCTTGGTATAAGGTGTGAGACGTTGGTCTATACCTAGTTTGTGTCCTATTGTTTTCCAGTTTTCCCAGCAGTTTTTGCCAAATAGTGAGCTCTTATCCCAAAGGCTGGGGTCCTTGGGTTTATCAAACACTAGGTTACTATGGTCATTTACTACTGTGTCTTGTGTACTTTATCTATTCCACTGATCCACCACTATATTTCCCAGGCAACTCTCTTAAGATATTGGTGACTTGAATTGGTAGAGTTTCCTTATATGGGAGTTCCCTATGCCAGTGAAATCTTAGCCCTAGTATCTAAACCTACAATAATAAAAGAAATAATATCTTTTAAACTACTCTTTAGAAGCTTTAAAACTGATACATATTGGGGCAGCTAGGTGGTACAGTGGATAGAGCACCGGCCCTAGATTCAGGAGGACCTGAGTTCAAATCCGGCCTCAGACACATAACACTTACCAGCTGTGTGACCCTGGGCAAGTCACTCAACCCCATTGCCTAACAAAAAAGACAAACAAACAAAAAAAAACCTGACACATATTCCCATTAAAATCTACTCTAACTACTATTTTATGTTCTTAATGTGAGTGAAGCTGTATGTGGATGGTAGAATAAACAAAATATTCTCAAGATCTACTCCCAGATTCACTCCTAAAAGCACCATTCATTATTGCCCTGTATTCCTATAACATTTTCTTTTGAGGAGTTCAAAATGCTTTCCTAGCAATTATCTCCCTTATCCTTGCAATATTCCTGCATAACATGATGGGACAAGTACAAACTATTATTTCCATTTTGCAAGGGAAATCAAGGCCCAAAGTTTAAACGGCTTCTCTGAATTCATAGAGGAAGTCATTGGGAAAGATGGTTAAGATATCTTTTCTTTCTAAATATAATAATCTTACCATCTGTACCATTTGTCTCCCAATGGAGGTGCCATGATACTGGTGTTTCATGATGTCCTTGGTATAGCACTCTATACTCTCTTGTCAATTTTTTAAAAATTGTAGTATGGAGGAATGAAGTTAAGGAGAATAGTAACTATGGAGGGGAGGAGGAAGGAAAATGACTAGTGTATATATTAGTTTGCATATGTATCTCCTGCTTTTCTACTCAATTCCTCTTTTGTTATGCCTCAAATGTTTTATTAAATTCCCAAAGATGGAAAACACTGCTTTAATCTAGCCTGACTCACCTGTATAGGCCACTGTATTTCCAGATATTCTGGCTTTCACTAAAGTGAGAACTGTGTACATCATGTATCACATGCAAAGGGAACAAGTGTTGATTTTTTTTGTTGTTGTTGGAAAAAATGAAATGACCCTCTCCCAAGAATACATCTGATCATAAAGGACTTATCTATTCTGTTCAAGACAACCATCCAAGACAAAGAACCCACGATGAAAAATGCTATCCACCTCCACAGAGAACTGATGAATTCTGAGGGCAGATTGCAGCATATTTTTTAACTATTTTTTCTTCTTGCTCTGTGTGTGTGTGTGTGTGTGTGTGTGTGTGTGTGTGTGTTTTCTTTTGGAATACTGCTAATATGGAAACATGTTTCACGTGACTTCACATGTGTAATGTGTCATAGTAATATGATAGTAATTATCATATCAAGTAATATGATACTCATATTACTCTCAAGGGGTGGGGAAAGAGCAAGAGAGATGGCATTCAGAAGTCAAAATTTTAAAAAGAGTGTTAAAAAGTTTTATGTGGAAAATATTTAATGAAATAAAAATATGTAAAATAAAAAGAATATACCCTGTTTCACAGGTGTATAACACAGGAGTACCAGCAAGTCAAGTGCTACTTTTCTCATAAAACAGCTTTGGATCCTATCAAGTGCCTGGTTCAACCCCCAAAACTGAAATGTTGTAACATGGAAGAGGAGTCTTTAGTATAAAGAATGTTTAGATCCCAGTGAACTGTCTCTTCTGTGGAACTGCTTGAGCACGAGCCCTGTGGAATGCTTAATTTGAATAATAAGGGCAGTAGCATGGTGTAGTCAAAGAGACTTTGGAATCCAGGGGCCTGAGTTCAAATGTTGTCTCAGCTATTTTCTACCTGTGTGACCTTGGACAAATCACTTAACCTTAATTCAGCTGTTTTCTCATCTATAAAATGAAGGTGTCAGCTTCACTGCCTTCTAAGGTACCTTCCAGAGCTACATCTACTATCTGCTGGCCTTTCCCCCAATAATGTTTTCATTAATCTGCTCCTTAAAAGTTAGACACCTTCTTAATTTTATCTCTTTCTGTCTTTCTGTCTTTCTTTCCACCCAGACTTCTGTTAATGTTTGGCATGGAAGTGTGTGTGTGTGTGTGTGTGTGTGTGTGTGTGTAAGCTTGATACTTTTTTGATAGAAAATTAGCATGTGTGATTTTATTGCAACCTGTAAACATACTGTTACATATTAAATCATTGGAAGGCTAAATTTTATTTAGATCTCTTAAGCTTCAAATCTGAGAAGCTTATTGAACTTTGCCTTCTAACATTAATCATTAAAATGTGAATAGTTCAATAGGACTTAGTCAATATTGGATTTACATATTTTAATTTCACATACAGCAGCATAAATTAAGCACTCAGATTCACGAAGGTAAGGACTTCCTAGGCCAGGTGTTTTGATTAGCAGTTGGTTTTTGCATATTACTTATTGATCAGGTTATTTACAAATCCAAACAAAAAACAACCACTCTACGTGCCACCATTAAGTGCAGAGGCTAATAACAGCAGGAAATGCCAAGAAAACTGCTGGGCATTTCTGCTCTTTCTTTTTAAGGCCAGCTGTTCCGTTTGTCTGCATCCACGAGTCTCACGTCCTGATCCTTTTCCCAGGCACTGTGTGTTTTTCCGTGTACAGTCCGTTTCTCTTTTTACTGATGTTTTCACCGGCCTGACTGGTGCTGTCGCTGGCATTGTTTGAGCTTACCTCATTAAGCCTCTACAAAACAAGCCCAAGTAGATTCCAGTGAATCATTCCAAGCTAACCAAGTTTCCCTAGGTAGCTTTACTCCGTATAATTGACAAGAATTGAGCCCCTTCCTCTACGGTCTTTCCATAGATACTTACCACTAATAATGTGAGCTTAAATGTGAGTCCTTATGCCCATTTCTCTTTCACAGATATTTTATTTCAATTCATGTGAAACAGTGTATGTATGTATATATGTATCTGTGCATGTAAATAAATGTGAAACAATGTATCTGAACCAAATTTGAGAGTGATTTTTGGAAAACCTAATGGTTTTCCTTCAGGCAAATTCCATTTGATCCAAAAAGTTTACATCCCCAATCTTGATGGGTCTAAGAGAATATAAGTATTTATTAAGCACTTAGTCTATGCCAGACACTGTGCTAATTATAAGAATCTTCCCTGACTAAATTTGAATCCAAGCCAAAGTTTCAGAAAATGCACACTTGTGACCTGTGTGGTCTTGAGCAAGTCCCTTACTTAACTTCTCTGGACCTCAGTTTCCTGATCTGTAAAATGAGAACCAAGCTTATGTCCCTTAAACTTGAATAGTAAAATAAACCAGGTTTCTAGTGGAGAAGGATCCTTTCCTTTACAGATCAGGATTTCCTGACCAATATTTATAGTCATGAGGCAGGCCTGGTGTAGTGGAGAAAGAAGCAGCTTTGGAACTAGGAAAATAAGGAGTCAAGTCCTGACTCTGAGACATATTGGCTGTGTGACCAGGGCTAATTGCTCTACGCAATTGCAGAAAAAGTCTCCCTCCGAGATAGCTTCCCATTTACACTGTATATGTATGTATGTAGTTGTTTGTATGTTGTATGTCTCCCCCATGAGAATGTAAGCTCCTTGAGAACAGGGATGGTGGTTTTTACTTTCTTTGTATCATCAACATTTAGCACAGTGCATGCATAGCACATTGTAAGCAGTTAATTGCTTATTTATTGCCTGACTGACTGACTGACTGAAAATGTGCCAACTGGCAGTTTCCAGTAGCAATGAAATCAGTTCTAATTCCTATCCCTATTTAGCCATGATTCCAGAGGCCCTATAAACATCTCTTCTTGGTCAGCAGGCTAGCATCTGCTATCATTGCAGGTGGTGCAGGACTAGTTCCACTGGGCAAATCTTTTTTTGCGGAGAGGATGTCATTGAGTTTACCTCATCCTCTGTTCAATGAGAAACAGGTTCTGACTTTGCTGCATTTGCCCTGGGTTCTTGGGCACAAGCAGCTCTTTCTGAAAAGGTTGGCACCTTTTCAATCACTGAGTCAGTAAGCAATTATTAAGTGCTTGTATTGTGGCATGTACTGTACTGTGTTGAGGATACAAAAATACTATTCCTGCCCTCAAGGAGGTTGCATTCTTCTCAAGGGAGAGACAAGATACAAACAACTACGTACACACAAAACATATGCATTGTAAATGGGACATAATCCCAGAGAAAGATTCTGCAATCCAAGTAACAAGTCATTAAATCCTTTCAGGTTTTTGCTTTCCTTTTGCCAAGGTCTTTGGCCAGGGACCCTGTGCAGGGACTGTAGCTATAGAATGGCCCTCTGCTGGGAGAACCTTAAACACACAGGAACCAGGCCATGCTATAACAGAGCCATTAGTTTGCAAGGTCTTGGCTGCATTAGGGCCTTCCACTTTAATTCATTTAAGGGTAAAATAATGGTCTTTTGGCTTCTCAGTATTGATCTGTTGCTGATGTGAAGGTAATTATGGTTTAGGAGTCTGGAGATGGATATATTGGTGCCTAAGAGTCAAGACAGGCATTTAAATAATCAAGGCCTTTCTGTGGTTGAGATCCACTCTCAGAAGGCTCTCTGTACTAGAATCCCATAGGAACCCTTTCCCAACACCAAAAGGGGATACTTTTGATGAAATATAAGAGTTCCTTTTATTTACTCCTCAATGGAAAGGGGCCCTTAATCAACCTAAGATGTTCTTGACTGATTGAAGGGGAGAAAGGGAATTATCCTTACTAGCTCTTTAATTCGGCAAATATTTTGGGTGTGTCTACAAAACCACAAGCCTCATAAGGGAGACTTGGTCACTGTATCTCATTAGAAAATTTTAATTCCTCATCACCCTCCACCCCCATTAAAAAAAAAAAAGAGGAAAGTAGAATCTTACTTCAGTCCTGGTTCCTGTGGCTTCTTCTAAAACTACAAAAAGGAGAATAGAACAGTATTAGAAGATCAGTTACCAAACCTCCTTTACTGTTTTCTGCTGTGATTCGGAAGGCTTTGGCTGAGATGTCCCAGGGAAAGAAATGCTGAGTGTTAATGAAGATTCTCTCTACCAAGGGAGAGCAGTGTCCTGAATCTTTCTCCAATCAGTGATTTAGACTGTGGAGAATATCCTTCTGAAAAGCGAGGGGAAAAGAAAGCTTGATTGTTTCCTTTAGGAAACTCTAATGATTAAGGGGAAAATGCTTAAAAGGGGAATAGTGATTCAGATGTAGTTGAGATACCTGCCACTATTCTAGTCTATTCATCATGCCTTGTTCTCATCCTGTCATGGCCTCCTGTCTCCATTCATTTACTTACACTCTTCCTCTGTACCTGAAACAAATTTCTGCCATACTTTCACCTGGAAAGATTCTTGCTTTGCTTCAAAGCCCAATTCATGGACTATACTCTCCCTAAAACCTGCCCTCATTTCCCTGACTTAAAGAGATCTCTTCCTCCTCAATCTTCTGAAAGCACTTTGGACCTCTCCTTTTACACTTGTCACAGTCTACCTTTCATCATATTTGTTTCCAAGTCCTATCTCCACTTCATTAAACTGCGATTTCCATGAAGCAGAAAGTACATCTTATTTCATCTTTGTATTCTTGGTTCCTATCACAGTGCCTTGAAATTAATAGGCATACTATATCAGATTGCACACTGTCTCAGGGAGGGGGGAGGAGAAAATGTAAAACTCAAAATCTTATGGAAGTGAATGTTGAAAACTAAAAAAAAATAATTTTTAAAAAAGAAATCAATAGGCATATTATATATTTTAATTGTAATGAAGACAAATTCAGGTGATTGTTTCACTGGGAATGCTGATTGTTTATACTTAACACAAAATAGAGTGATACTGGTGTCGATTAGTAGTTGAGCACTAGACCTGAGTTCAAATCTTCCCTTAGCCATTTACTAGTTAGTTGTGTAATTATGGGCAAGTCTCTGTGCCTCAGTTGCCTCATGTGTAAAATGAGGGATTTGGACTTAATGGCCTCTAAGAGCACTTCCAACACTAAATCTATGATACTATAATGTGATTTGCCTTCTCTGGGCCTCAGTTTACACAATGAAGGGGTAGGACCAGCCCTTCTAGCTCTAATATTCTATAAGGCCAACTGCCATCTTTCCCTTTTTGTTGTTAGCATTTTGCAGCATATACTTGAAAAATGTCCATCCTATTGGTGAGACCATGTCCTTTGGACTCAGACGTTACTGACCTCACTGAATGGGTTTGTATGTCATTTGCTTCCCCTACTCTCTCTAATGGTTTGTCTGTGAACACAGAATCAGTAAGTAAGTGGTAGGAGAGCTAGTCCTAGGAGGTGGTAAAATACCAAAAGAAGAATGTGGACCCAAAGGACAGAGGATTTCATTTGATTCCTACCTTTGACACTTACTACTTGGGCAAGGCTTTCACTTCCCTGTGTCTCGGTTTCTTTATCTGTAAGATGAGGGGGTTGGGATAGATGGCCTCTAATTCCTTTTGGTTCTAGATCTGTGATCCTAAGAACCATGGACTCTACATAATAGATATTAAGGAGAGAAATAACCGAGAAGCTGACATGTATGGCCTCTAATTCCTTCTGGTTCTAGATCTGTGATCCTAAGAACTATGGACTCTACATAATAGATATTAAGGAGAGAAATAACTGAGAAGCTGATGTGTATGTTTCTGACCTTTCTTTAAAACTGAATGGAAAAGATCAGACATTGTTTTGGAATAAAAGTGTTGCAATCAGCAAAATGACTTTAGTTGGGGTCCTAGAACTCTGAGCACCAAAATTATTTGTGCCAAATGGGGATACACCTATTTTATGAGACCAAAGCACATGAATTTATAATGACCTCATTCTAGGGATGTATTTGGGAGGCAGTAGGACATAGTGTATAGAGAGTTGGCTTTAGAATCAGAAAAATCTGAGCTCAAATTCTGACTCATACTAGCTGGGTGATCTTGGGCATCACTTAATTCTTCAAAAGTTCTCAGAGGCAAAGCAGGTGATGATGTTTATCAGAAGAGTCCCTCACTATGACTTTTCCCTATATTAAAGAAATCATAATTCAAGCCCTCCCCCTCCCCTAGAAGGGACATATGTATTTTAAAATGTATTTAACATTTAATATATATTTTAAAAGCAAAATTATTTTTTTTTCTCAGTGCAGTCTTTATTTTGGAATGGGATTGCTTTCTACCAGATTTCTTTCCCCCTCTCTGCCCACCCCTCCATTTCTAAATCAAACTTACTTTGGCATTTCTGTCTTCAAAAAGCTGTGGGCATAGACAGGAAGAGTTTGGTGGATTTCGGACAGATCGGATCAGAGGAGAATGAAAAAGAAGGACAACCTAGGAAATGGCCAAGACTAACCTGTTAGAGTTATATCCAGTTGTTCCACCATCAGCTTAGCATCTTCCTTTGTGAAGCACATTGGGGGTTTTATTTTAAGAACATTCCTATAGGGACCATCAGCACTGAGAAGTATTCTCTGTTCTTTCATCCTGGTAAGAAAAATATGTATATTGGACATAAGTAAATGTCAACGGTAATAATGCAAAGTGCAAAGAGCTCCTCCAGGAGGGTCAGGCATCACATATACACAAAGGTACCACCCCCTCCCCATCCCTTTTCTCTTTCTCATACCCATACAATCCCAGCCATAGAACAGATGAGTAATTGACTTTTTCCTGGATGGAAGAGGAACAAAGGCTAGAATTCTCAAGCTCCAAATGACACGGTTGGATTGGCAAATAACTGATCTGATGAACTAGACCCAGAAATAAAAGGTATATTTACTTATAGATGACATGTTGTGCCTCAGCTGTGGCGGGGGTCCTTTTCTGTTGGTCCTTCACTAAGTCAATTCCAATAAAAAAGCCAATGCCCCTACGAAAGATGGAGCAAGAACAGATATTCATTCTATCAGGAGAAAATGCCTCATTTTCTCCAAAAAGCAACATTATTCCCAATGCTTCTGTTTAACCTTCACTTAGTGGCAATAAAGTGGGACACTGACCTTCCATGTCTAACCATTGCAGATTCAGGCTAATTTAAGTTACCAGCACCAGTCAGAGGCTAGTAATTGTTTTTAGAGACAATTTCTTTCAAAATAAGTTTTTTTTTCCTACTTAGCTAACAAATGAGAAAAGTCTTTATCCCTTTTCCAAGTCTTTTGAACTACTCATAGATGATGACTTGCTTAGGATCATACAGCCAGTAAGTAGCAGAGAACAGGCTTGAATCTGGATCTTCTTGATTCCAAGGTCAGTTCTCTATTCACATGCCATATTGACTCTCTAAAGATGATTCAATTTTCTTTAGCTTCTGAGGACAATAGTTATAATAATAATGAGGAGGGGGAGGAGGAGGAGGAGGATGGTTACAAAGTACTTTAAATATATTAGTTCATTTTATGCTCACAGCAATTGGGAGTTAGCCTCATTTTACAGATGAAAAAATTGAGGATTAGGGAGATTAAATTACTTGCCCAAGGTCATACAACTAATAAGTGACTAGTAATAGTAATAGGTGCCTAGTAGATGGCAGCTTATATTTTTGAAAAGGACAGATTGTCATTTAACTTTGCTGGTTATTTAAAACAACAACATTAACATGAAGCATCAATTAAGGACCTACTATGTGCTAAGCACTAGGGATACAAAGAGTTACAAAAAACAGTCCCTATTCTCAATGAGTTTATATTCTAAAGAACACTATTAAGATAACCTATAAGATATACTGTGTAAAATGAAAGAAAAAGCCATTTATTTTTAGACCTTTTGGGTACTGAGTTAGGAACATACTTCTAGGGTTAAAATATTGTCAAACAATTATCTAGCCACACCATTCCTCCTTGATGAGCATACCTGATATCCCCTATCAATGGATGTTTTGCTTTTTGCTTGTTCAGTAACTCAATTAGGTAATTTCCAACTTGTGTGGCATTTTCTTGAAGATCTTCCTTTTCAATTACATCCAGGACAGCCAAGCCAATAGCACAGGACACTGGATTTCCTCCATACTGTGCACAAAATGAAAAACAAAACCCAGCAGTTGGATGATTGGTTTCCCTTAATCTACCAGAAATCCTGTCAAAATCCTCCAGCTCAGAAGCAAGTGAAGATTAAATTTGAAGGGCACTTTTTACTTACCATCAAAGCTTTTATAATTCAACATCTAGCACAAATGTTGGTTGTCACAGATTAATATAAATATTTTTTAAGTTTTGTTCACTGACTGACTGAGACGAGGCAATTTCAGGCAAAGCCAATAGCTAAAGCTAAAATGTCCTTTTCTGGCCCATTAATGCTTTTATGAGATTTTAATTTCACTAGATTTGAATCTGACTTTGAGCAACACCAAATTCTCTTTATCTTATGCTCTACAAGCACCAACTTTTCAAGCCTGAAAGTTAAAAGTGATTAGGGATAAATCTTCAAAGCAACAAAACTCTCCCAGGACAAAAGTTTAGCAACTGTTACGGCATAAGTCTTGTATCCTTAGGTTATTTTTTAAATGGTGCCTCATAACCTAAAGGCTTTAAAAGATGATTTATGAATTTATATGTGATATGAAACATGCAAAGATCATGTCATCCATAAATGAAATGCAGCTATGCCTGTGGTTTAACAAGACAACTATTTATTAGCATATGGAAACGCGTCAAAAAAGAGTAAGACTTAGGAGAGATGGCTGGCTGAGTTGCTACAAATAGTACCTAACATACTCTAGTCAGAGTTTGGCTAGGATTTTGGGGATAACTCTTTTATTTTTATGTTACTAGCCTATTCTAATCTCTAAGTTCTTACCCTGTACTGTCCTGTTTCTTCATCTTTCTTCCTGTTTGTTATCTTCTTCTGCCAGAAATGGATTCTCTTTTTACCTCTGCCTGATAATGAACCTTGTTCAGATTTTCCAATAGCATTTTTCTTGGAGCTCTTCTTTGCACTTATTGTCTTCATGCTTCTCACCAAAGGGCTTTTTTTTGGGGGGGGGGAGGTAAATTATTTCCAATCTATTCTGTAAGCTCCTAAATAGCAGGAACTGTGTGTCCGGTTTCATCTTTGAACCCTTGAGGACCCAGAACATTGTGTTTCATATATATATATATATAAATGTTCATATATATGTCATATAATTTCATATATATAAAATTGTCATTTATGTAATATATATAAAATTTCATATGTATAAATATAGAATTGCCTTTCATATATATATATAGATATATAAAACACACACACACACACACACACACACACACATCACTTAAAGAAGTCACAGGATCCTCAATCTGAGCTGAAAGGAATCTATCTACCTCAGAGGCCATCTACTCCAGCCTCCTTCATTTTACAGATAAGGTAACTAAGGTCCAGGAAGGAAGTGATTTCCTCAAAATCACTAACAATAAATGCATATTGAATTGAAGCAAGAAATTTGATAGAATGCTAACTTTACCTTTTACCATGTTTGGAGAAAACAAAGGAGCACATACCACTTTCCCCTTTCATAAAACTATATCTGAAAATAAAATTTACCGTGTTAAAATACTCCATTCCAGAAGCACTGAAGGCTTCTGCAATTTCCTGGGTTGTCACAACACAAGACAGCGGGTGTCCATTGCCCATCGGTTTACCCATGGTAACAATGTCTGGTACGAAGTCTTCACCACACATCTGGAAGCTCCAAAAATGTTTCCCAATTCTACCAAAACCAACTTGAACTTCATCAGCTATGAACACACCCCCTGCTTTGCGGACATATCTGAAAAGCAAAGGGACATGATGAAAAAAACAAAATAAAACAAAAAGACTCTCGAGATTCTATAAAGGCAGCCATGGTTATCAAAAAAGATGATAGTTTTCCCCAATTGCTTTGCGAGACAATTACTGGATTTCTATATTAAAATGTGAGGATGCATCGCATCTTAGTGTAAGCTTACTAAATGAATTGTGATTTGATTTGCACCAGGTAAAATGACTATTACAATTTTGGAGAGTAAAGAAAACCAAAATTGGCAAAAACAGTCTCCAGTTGGCGATTGTCACAATGTTCAGTGTGCCCCCAAGTCCAATACATACTCTGCCACTTTCTGGAAGTAGCCTGCTGGTGGAATGACTTGGCCTCCACAGCTCTGCATGGATTCAGCAATAAAAGCAGCAATCTACATGAAAGGAGATGAAATCAGAGTCTGTTGAGCTGATTGTCTCCCTCTTGTATGCCCAGTGACCAGAATGGTTTTCCTTACAAATCAGCTAACTTCAAGAATGTGATGGAAAAGAGAACACTACAGGCAGGACAAAGAAGCCATACAATGATTCCATGGAAAAAGCTCTCATTAGGAGTCTATCAAGCACAAGGCGTGAGGCATGGGTCACCAATTCAGTGCAGTCTCAAAGGGCTGCATCATCAACCATGGGGCATGGGGGACAAAAAAGGAGCATTTGATATTTACAAATTTAATTTTTACTCAGAGGCATCATTATAGTGCACTGAGTCTGAACACATTTTGAAAATATGTAGCACTAATAATGCCAATCCATGAAAGCAAATTTGAATTGCCTTCTCTCTACACAGTTAGGATGATGATAATGATGCTGATGATCACTGGGCTTACTATTGCATTTGGTATAGAAAATTTCCATATGAGGAAATAGTCAATGCAGATTGGCAGCTTCTCTGCAATTTATAATCCTCAAGACTTGTCTAGAACACTCAGAAGTTAAGTGAATTGGTTGCCCGAGGTCATATAGCCAGCAATTATCAGAGAATAAACTTGAACCCAGATCTTCTTAGTTCTAAGGCCATGTCTCTATTTACTATGCCAAACTGCCTCTCTAATAGTAATTATGGCTAACATTTATAGCACACGTTAAGGTTTGCAAAGTACTTAGAGTGCAGTCTTCCTGGAAACACTGCTGATCAGTAATGTATGTATAAAGAAATGGATGTTATATTTGACATTATAGTCAAAAAGTAGGAAGATCCCAAGAGCAAGCACGACTTTCACCTCTTGGACAACTTTTTTTTTTCTGCTGCTGGTATACAGTGCCAAGACCTAGAAGAAAACATGCAGGAGAAGGGCAAGGAGAAACGGGAAGGAAGATGCAGGAGAAAGAGAAGGAGAAGGAGGAAGACGAGAAGACTCTCTGTTAGTAATAAGTATAATTTTTTTTAAAGCCCCAAATGCTACATATTACATCTGGGTCAGGGGTTCATAGCCTTTGTGTCCTGGACCCCTTTGGTAGTCTAGTAAAGCCTGTGGAGCCCTTTTCAGGGTAATGTTTCATATGCATAATGAAATAAAATACACAGGATTATGAAAGAAACCAATTCTATGGAAATAGTTGTCAAAATATTTTTAAAACAGGTCACATATTCCAGGTTAAGGATTCTTGATCCATAGCTGTGTGACCCTGGGCAAGTCACTTAACCCCTATTGCCTAAAAAAACCAAAAAAACAAATGAAAAAAAAGAATTCTTGATCTAGTCTATAAGATGACTTATGTCCTCCTAGGACTGGTCTGTGATTTCATCAGCATTGCTCTGTGATGTACTAGGCAATCCTATGGAATTCCCTGAGATTCTGAGATGTTAGGGGGCTTAGTCAGGGTCTCAACTACGAAAGATCACAGTTAGGATTTGAACCCCATTTGAATCCTGATTCTAAGTCCAGCACCCTCTCCGCTATATTATGGAGACAGGTCAGGTCCACATTGATAGGCTTCTCCTGCAGACTTTGTAGAGGATCTGACCAGGTCTAGATCTTCCCTAGTTTCCAAAGGCTGAGCCAGTTCTTAGGATTCCCTAAAATCTTTGTCTGAAACCTAGTTTGGCCCTGGAATCTAGGAGTCATTATGTCCCCTCCTCAAGACAACATTAGCTCTGGGTGCCATTCTCTACTGGAGTGGATACTTTCCCTCCCAGCATCTTGGGGGTCCTCACCCTTGCTCTTTTTGGTAGGCTAGAGATGCACCATGGAGAAGAGACATGGAGGTGCCATTTGCCTAGCACTTTGACCCCCAGAGCATGATCTCACACTGCAATGGGGAGAAAGTAGTGGTCATGGCAGGAGTCTTCTATACTGGTGAAATCCCAAGCCTAAGTGCCCTGCCTTTTGTAGTTTGTACCAATGAAAATCCAAAAAGGATGTCATAAAAGAATCTAATGAAAATTTAGGTCCATAAAATTTGGTTTTCCCCTCAACTCCCCTCCCCTCAAGTCTCTTTTCAAACCAAGTATGAAAGATGTTAAATTATGTCTATAGTGTCAACACACACACACACACACACACACATACATATATAAAATATCTATATGTCTATACAAACCTTACGCCCATTTTTCTGGGCTTCTTCGATAATTTTCTTCACTTCGTCTGCATAAGCACCAGCTGGATCTGGATGGTCCTCCAGATATTTTCCTCGGTAGGTATCTGGAGCTGGTGCCTGAAAGCATCAAGAGATAGGTTTTCTACCCTAAACATTTAGCATGACTTTTGTATAGAATCATAGATGTAGAGCTGTAAGGGCCATTGAGCCCCATGTATTGTGTTATAGGTGATAGGAACCTAAAATTTAGATCTGGAAGAAGCCTCAGAGGACACCTACTCTAATTCCCCTGATTCATACATGAAGAAACTGAGGTCCCAGAAACTTTAATGGCCTAAGCTTATGCAGGTACAGAGACAAGATGTGCACCCATGTCCTCTGACTCTGAGCAGCTAGGTGGCATTAGGCCACCTAGATAGGGAGCTGGGCCTGGAGTCAGGAAGGCTCATCTTCCCGAGTTCAAATGTGACCTCAGACCTTTAATAGCTGTGTGACTCTGGGCAAGTCACTTAACCCTGGTTGCCTCAATGTCCCCATTTGTGAAATGAGCTGGAAAAGAAAATGGCAAACCAATCTAGTATCTCCACTAAGAAAACCCCAAACAGGATCATGGAGAGTCAGATACAACTGAAATGATTCAACAACAGAAACAGCTTCTGACTCTGGAGCCATTGCCTTTTCCACTGTAACATACTGTCTACCATGAGGTGGGGGGAGAGAGGAGGAAAGAGGAGAAGCGTTAATGCTCATTTTAGCTAACTGATGAGTCCTTTAACTACAAAGCATTACTTCCAAACCTTAAAATTATGGAAAAAGAAAGACACAATTGTTCTTTTGAGAGCACAAAGAAGGGAAACAATCCTTAGTTATTAAATACTTTTAAAGAATATTGCAAATTATAGGATCACAGTTTTTTTTTTTTAATCGACATCATTTTGTGTTAAGTTGTGATAAAACAACTCAGGCTTAAGGAGAATAATGAGGTTGTACATCCCAGCAAGGAAAATGACAAACAAGACTCAATGACACATTAATAGTAGCCACCCCCAGAAATTAATCTCAGTGAAGGTGGCAGGTCAAAGTGCAATCCTATTTCCTAGGGTAGGTGAGATTAATATATATACTTACTACATGTACAAATTCTTTTTTGATGTCTTTGCCTTTTCGGAATTTATATGGACTGATTTCAATCAAAGAAGAAACATGACCATGGTAGGCACTAAAAGGAAGAGTAACACACACAACTTTGAGGGAAGTTTTCTTCTAATATTAGAATTAATTTAAATGAATTAATGTTATTCCATAATCAAGAAAAAATGAAGAAAATAGCACCCGATTCTAGGCAGCACACCCTGCTTAACATGGTCAAGTTGGCAATTGTTTTCCCTTGGCCTCTTCAGCAATATGTATAAATACATATTGAAAATCAGAATTGGGCAAGGGGAAGCCAGTGGAGTTGTAAGAGAGCAAAAAATAACAAAACAAAATATAGAGAATAAAAAAAAGAAGAGAAAGTGAAATATCTCATAAGAAAAACAACTGATCTGGAGGACAGATCAAGAAGAGAAAACATAAGAATAATTGGACTACTTGAAACTAAGATCAAAAAAAGAATCTTGACACGATAATACAAGAAATAATAAAGTGTCCTGAAGTATTAGAACAAGAGAGGAAAGTAGAAATAGAAAAAAGAATCCACCAATCACTACCTGAAAGAGATCCTATGAAGAAAACCTCCAGGAATATTATAGCTAGATTCCAAAACCCCCAGCTCAAGGAGAAAATATTAGGAACAACAAGAAAACAATTCAAATATGGTGGAGCCACAATCAGAGTCACATAAGACCTAGCAGTGGTTACACTAAAAGATTGCAGGTTTTGGAACACCATATATGGAAGAGCAAAAGAACTGGGGTTGCAGCTAAAAATATCATACCCAACAAAGTTAAGCACAATCCTGAACAACAAAAAAAAAGGCATTCAATGAACTGTCAGAATTTCAGGATCTTATTGCAAAAAGACCTGAACTTAAAAGAAAATTTGACATACAAGATCCAAGAGAAATATAAGGTAAATGTCAAAGACTAATCACAAGGAACTCAACGAAGACAGACTGTTTACTTTTTATACAAAGAAATGTGAGCTGCATGTTTAAGATTGTGATTAGTAATTGGGTAGTTTGAAAGAAAGATTGGGGAGAGCTGAGTATGATATGATTCTGAAAAGTAATACCATCTAGGAAAAGGTAAAAAGAGTGATTGTCTTATACAAATGAGATATGAGAAAAACTGACACAGAGGAATTAGGTGGGGGAGGAGGGCTGGTGGTTCTGGAACCCTAGTCTCATCAGGAATGGGTTCAAGAGGGAAATATGTATTTTATATATACATATGTATATTTGTATTATACATATGTATTATTATAATACATATGTATTATTTATATATATGTATAAAAATCTTCTAAATTCAGAAAGAAAAAAATACTAAGGGAGATAGGAAGGGGGAAGGATTTTTAGAAGTAATTGGGTGAGGAAATAGAAAAAGGAGGGGTATAGAAGGGTGTCTACATCAACAGCGGGGTAGATGATAATGGAGGGATCTTTTGGATGGGGTAGGTTAAGTAATAGGAGGGCAAGGAAGCAGGTAGAAGTAAAGTAGAAGAGTCAGAAGGGATAGAAAATAAGAGACATGCACAAACATAAAATGAAAATCAGAAATAGAATTTATTAGGAAAAAAGCAGGAGTAGTAATCATGATGTCAGACAAAGTTAAAGCTAAAATCGAGTTAATCAAAACAGAAAAATAGGGAAACTACACTATGTCAGCTGTATTAATCAATATTGTTTTAGACTGTTTAAAATAACTAGATGGTATAAGGTTGGAATATTGCTGTGGTACAGGAAATGAGTTGGTGGACTTAGAAAAATATAGAAAGACTTGGACTTAGGAAGGAAGACATTATCCGCCCCCCAGAGAAACAGAACAAATAATAGTATAGTCTTACATAAATGCATATGAAAGTATGTGTATATGTGAGTATGGTTATAGATAGCTAAGTAGATGTATGTGTATATATGTGTATGTGCGTATATGTGTACATATGTACATATGTTTGTGTGTATATGTGTACATATATGTATGTGTGGAATTTCAATATACTAAGTCTGAAAATAACACTCTCTTTCATCAATAATTTGAATGAATTGACTATGTATGTGGGTGATCATCTCAATCCTCTTTTTTGTACGGTTACCCAGGAGATAAGACAGAGTTACATAGTTATTACTTGGAGTTCAACAGTCACTAAGTATGTTTAAATTACAAAGAAAACGGTGGTTGTGAATAAATCACTGGAAGGCAACTTGCCAACTGTGCTCTCTGATTAGCTTTTGTTGAGGGCAGGGGCAGGGAGAGGCATGCTTCTATATCAACTGAAAAAAAAAGATTTTATTGGTGGATCTACTGTGCAACAGGTTTTTGTTTTGGTTTTTTTGGTGAGGCAATTGGGGTTAAGTGACTCACCCAGGGTCACACAGCTAGTAAGTGTCAAGTGTCAGAGGCCAGATTTGAACTCAGGTCCTCCTGACTCCAGGGTCTGTGCTCTCTCCACTGTGCCACCTAGCTACCCCTGCAACAGGATTTTAACTGTATAAGAAAGAGTATTTCCTCAATTTATGAAGTGTGACTTCTAAGATTGCTGTCCTTTGTTTGGGATAGATAGTAAAGAAGAACATTGTGAAAAGACAGAGACACACTAAGCGTGATAAAGACTGAGACTGGTGGGGATGAACTTGAATAGAATGTTTATATTTGCATAAGAAAATGCAAAAAAGTGAACAGCAAATATTTATTTTATATAATAATTATGTGCATTCCTTTTTCAGTTTATACCAATATACATATATGTACATATATATTTTTCCTTCAAAATCTTTCTTGGGCAGCTAGGGGATGCAGTGGATAGAGCACCAGGCCTGAAGTCAGGAGGACCTGAGTTCAAATCCGACCTCAGACCAAACACTTGACACTTACTAGCTGTGTGACCTTGGGCAAGTCACTTAATGCCAATTGCCTCACCAAAAAAAAAAATTTTTTTCTTGAAGTGGACTATATAGTAGTTTATAATTTAAATAAAACTGTATATTTTAAAAATAATGATTGAGTAGAAAAACATTTGCTCCCCTCACCTGCTCCCTAAGTTATGTGTAGCAATGAAAGTCCTAGTTATTTGGTTCAGGAGGTCCAAATATTATAAGCAAAGCACTACTATACCCCTGGTGTCAGCTTACCCTTTTTTTCAAGTAAGTCCTTAGGAATTAAAACAACTTCTATGGTACTGGTCTTGCAAATCCACAATTAATAAAAAAAAATAGACATTAAATCTGATATCCACCCTTTACTTACTATAGTGAGATGTCTATTAAGACATAGTAAAATTAATATGTAGCTTTGTCTTCTACTCTAACTCAAAGCAGTGCAGAAAAACCAGCTGGATTCATTCATAATTGTTTCATTGCATACTCACTGGTCAAGTGTGATCACATCTTGGTGATCTCTGTATTGCCGGGCTAGGCGTAAGGCAAGATCATTGGCTTCGGATCTAGAAAGAAACACATTAGGGTTGCAGGTGACATACGGTCCTTTTGGATATACTCGTTCACGTAATTGTTTACTCAAGTGTTTGCAGAAAGAAAGAAACAAGTCTATTACAAAATAAAGTGCTAGATGGAATTGTGTCTTAGTGGTATGACTTGATGCTAAACATGGATATTCCATAAAAGGGGATAGTTCATCATCAAACAAAGCATTGGCTCTATTTCTTGATCCCCATTTGGGTCCTCCATATAAACATCACATTTTATTTTAATTATTATCAGCTAAGAAAAGCACAACAACACTGACTACAATTCCAACTAAGGTTATAATGTGCACAACAATATGCATTTCAGATCCCTATGCCTCAGTTGTAGTTGCTGTAAAACAATCATTTACTTCTTCCTTCCCTTCCTTCCTCCCTTCTTTCCTCTCTCCTCCCCTTCCTTCTTCCCTTCTTTCCTCCTCTTTCTTCCTTCCTCCCTCCCCTCTCTCTCCCTTTCTTCTTTCTCTTTCTTTCTTTCTTTCTCCCTCCCTCCTTCCTTTTTTTTTCTTTCTCTCCTCTCCTTTCTTTCATTAGATTTGGAATTCTATTTGGTACATGTAATTTACAATGAAGATGCTCGCATTGCCAATGCAGATTAGCACCTGCTTTGTAACAAGTAGCCTCAGAAAGTTACCTGGGAGCAAGTTAGGAGACTTACCAAGAGTCAAAAATCCAATATATGTCAGAGGCAGGACTAGAATCTACTCCTAGGTCTTTCTGACTCCTATCAAAAGACCATTGGGATTATGGATTTAAACATATAAGGGAATTTAGAAACTACTGAATCTGAACCCCTCAGTTACAGATGAGGGAACTGGGTGCCAGAAGTTGAGTGGCTTACCTAGGGTCACACAGCTAATAAGTGTTTGAGATATGACTTGAACCCTGGTCTTATCTACTACGTCATGCTGCCTCATACATTTCTGGTTATTTTGCTTCAGCAGTGATATGGAGGCAGACATATTTAAGCAAAGGAATACTGTTAATCCGTTTTCAGCCTTACCCACCCACAACAGTAAAGATAACATTTAGAACAATAAGAGGGCTTTGTTAAGCTTGCTTCCAACAGTGGGAAGTACAAATTCTGTTCCTATTTGTGATTATCAAGGGTAAGTTGTGTCAGGCCAATACTAGTTGTTTCATTTTCTTATGAAATGGAGGTGATAATAATTGCTCCCTACTTCCTTCACCTTCATAGAACCTAAAGATATTACATTAAAAGAAGTTGTTATTCAGTTGTATCCAAATTTTGTGACCCCCCCCCCATTTGAGGTTTTCTTGGCAAAGATACTGGAGTGGTTTGCCATTTCCTTCTTCAGCGCATTTTACAGGTGAGGAAACTGAGGCAAACAGGGTTAAATGACTTGCTCAGTGTCACACAGATAGTAAGTTGTCTGAGGAAGGCTCATCTTCCTGAGTTTAGGCTTAGATACTCTAGCCACTATTCCACTTGGCTGCCCGTAAAGGAAGAAGTAATATCTCCCATCTCTGGGGCCAGTGTTTTGCTGTTAGATGCTGCTTGGAACTTTAAAAAAAAAAAAGGCAAACTTTTGGAGATTCTTAGAAAGTCACACGGATAGAGATGCTGGGCATCAGAGATAAGGACTTCATGAAATCATTTCACTTATGCATCTCCATCAGCATATGAATCTCTAGAGATTGAGAGTCAAGACAAGAATGCTTCACAACTGTAATTTAGATCCTAGAGCTGTCTTGAAATTCTTTACAAGGAAAGAAAGTTTATGGTTAAATAAGCACTTCATTCTGGAATGTCTTAAAGAAATCATGAACCACAAAATCATGGAAATAGACTTTTAGAAATTAAAGGAACCTAATAATTTGGATTTCTTTAAGCTATATTTCAGTGCTTGTGGAATATGCCAGACTGACTGCAAAGAAGTGTCTCACAGAAGTTATAATCTGTTGAGTAGCTTTCTTTCTCCCATTTTCATAAAATCCCTTATTCCTATATTGATGAGAATTTCCATCAGATCTCTGACTATTCCCTATCCTGCCCAAGAAGTACTAATTATTTCTGGGCAGACTTTGACTGGTTATGCTTACCAACATGAACACTACACATTGTTATCTTTGACACAACTTTTATTAAATTAAATATAGTGCCCAAGATGACTTTAAGTATCAGTAACATCTTACCTTTTTCTCTCCACTGGATAACTGAGGAAACTGAGCTACTTAAAAAAATAGCTTATTGGGGGGTAGCTAGGTGGCACAGTAGATAGAGCTCTGCTCTTGGAGTCAGGAGGACCTGAATTCAAATCCAGCCTCAAATATATAACCCTCACTAGCTGTGTGACTCTGGGCAAGTCACTTAGCCCCAACTGCCTCACCAAAAGAAAAAAAAATAGCTTCTCTCTAATAGAACGTGAACTCCTTGAGGGCAGGATCTGTTTTATTTCTGTCTTTATGCTGAGCAGTTAGCACAATGGTTGGTTCATACTAAGATTTTAATAAATGTTTGTTGAATGGAACTGTACTGGCTTGCCAAATGCCAATCGGCAAATTATCAGCCTAGGATGTTCTCAAAGTATTTGGGTATTTCATCAGGTGTTCCATATACTCTAGGAAATAATCTACAGTCACTTTCAGGAATGTATGGACCTGAGAACACAATTGGTGATCCATTTATGAAAGAAATAAAATGGGAAGGGGTGAGAAGATAGGATGAAAAGAAAACAAACCAACCAATCCTGAAACATACCCTGAATTAGCAAAATAGCAAACAGAGAGTTTCTCTGGCAGAGTTTCGGAAAGGCGTTTGGCATACTCGACAATGCTGTCATGGAGGAATCGGGAATTTGTATTTAGCAGCTCCATCTGTTCCACGGCAGCCTTGATCACTTCTGGGTGGCTGTGTCCCACTGAAATTTAGGAAACAAAAAGCCCAGGAAACTCATTACAATTCCCAATGCCTGGGAATGCAGGCAAGAACCAAGTAGCACAGAGAAATGTGGTTGTTTCCCCTTTCCAACCCTTGGCCGAGCCAAGTGGTACTGGCCAGTGCCATTGGTTAGCCTTCAGTCCCTGAAGGAACCACTGACCGCTGAGGGAACATAGATTAGCTCCCATAAATCTGCCCTGGCCACGAAATGGATTCCTTTGCACTCACCATGCGCAACATTATTGACGCAGTCCAGGTATTGTTCCCCATTTTCATCAAACATGTATTGGCCCTTGGCCCGAACTATCTTGAGGGGGTCTTTGGCGAAGAAAACTTTACAGGATGGCCTAAAAATCATGACAGAAAAGCAATCTTGGTCTGGCAGCCATTACTCAGAATTATGGAGACAGAGACAGTCTCAAAACTGGAAAGTACTTCAGAGGACAGAGTCAAACCTATAGCTTGACAGAGTACGCAGTGGGTAGAGTGCCAAGCCTGGAGTCAGGAAGACTCATCTTCCTGAGTTCTAACCCAGCCTCAGACACTTACTAGCTGTGTGACCCTGGGCAAGTCACTTAACCCCATTTGCCTCAGTTTCCTCATCTGTAAAATGAGCTAGAGAGGGAAGTGGCAAACCACTCCAGTATCTTTGCCAAGAAAAGTCCAAACTGGGGTCACGGGAAAGTTGGACATGGCAATGATTAAACGACAACAGCAACAACACATAAAACATATACTTTAAAGGCAGCAATCCCCCGCTCCAGACCATTAATTTCTGTGGAGCTCCTGGGTATAGAAACTTCCTGGTCGATACAGAACAGCACTAATTTTGCAGCTTGCAAATGAAAATGATTAATTAATAATTAAAATGATTAAAACTGACAAATTTCACAAAAAGCCTATGCATGGTTCATTAAGAGAATCCCAGGGTATCATCTGGGATTCTGGGATAAACCGTGATGCTAATGCCTTCCCTCTACTGATTATCCCAGGTTTATTCTGTATGTATCAGTTCACACACAATTCTTTGCTGGTTGTCTGAGCTTCTCAAGGGCAGGGACTGTTTTTGCCTTTCTTTGTACCCCCAGTGCTCAACACAGTTCCTGGCTCCGGGAGGTTACTTAATGTTTGTTGACTGGTTAAATGACTTGCTCAGGGTCACACAACAATTAGTATCTGAGGCAGGACTTGAACCCCACATCTTCCCAAGTGCAAGATCAGCTTGTTATCCACCATGCCACCCTGCCTACAATGAACAATTATAAAATGAACTTCCATTCTATTAACTGCCTAGAAACTTTTCTTATTCATGTGAATAGAAGGTAACCTTTCCTTAAGACATTAATAGGGTCAGCTAGGTGGCTTAGTGTACAGAGTTCCAGCCCTGGGGTCTGGATGACTTGAGTTCAAATTCAGCCTCATACACTTACTAGCTGTGTGAGTTTGGGCAAGTCACTTAATTCTGATTGCCTCAAAAAAAATTGTAGACAAGATAGGTGGGGCTGTACATTTATGCTGGTGTTGAACATTATCAGAGCACATGTGAATCTATTAAGAATAGGGAGTGGACCTTTGATTACCTTGGTCTAGAGAACTCCCAAGTGAGGGAATGCAATCACTGTAGTTCAGCACCTGCTCTTCAACTTAGTCATAAAAAGTTGACTACATCATTGTGTGGTTAAGTGGTTTGTGCAGGGTTACACAGCCAGGAGTGCCAGAGACAGAACAATCGAACCCAGGTCCTCTCTGGCTTTGGAGCCAGTTCTCTACTACATTCTCTCATAAATGAATGAACGAAGCAGATATATACATATATACATATATACATATTTGTGTGTGTATGTATATCTACACATGTATTCTAGGAATGATGTGATGAGGGAATAGAAGCAAATGAAACAGTAGGAAAGTCACTAACAAGATAAAGGGGCTTATCAGATAAGGGTGGTCCCTGAGTTTTTCTTACATGGTTAAATTAGCTGTTGTACTATAAAGCATGTAGACCTAGTAAGGAAAGACTGCTGGGTTTGGATCAGGAATGGGATTGGAGTTTTAAGTGGATGATTTTTGAAGGCCTCAGTTTCCTCACTAGTAAAATGAGGGGATTTGACTAGATTTCTAAGGCCGAATATAGTATTTAATGTGGTAATATGTTTAATGTGATTGTGGTTGTACAGCCTATATCAGAATGCATATCATATTGTGGACGGAGGGAGAAAAAGATTTGGAACTCGAAATCATAAAAGGGAATGTTGAAAACTATCTTTACATGTAATTGGAAAAAAAATACTATTAAGTGGGGGAAAATAAAAAGAAATAAAAAGAAATTCTACAGTCTTTCCCCTCTAGAATCCTTGAGGACAGAGACTGATTGTTGTTTTGGTCTTTATAACCTGGCACTTACTAGATGTTAGTTAAATCAAATTCAATTGTCACCTAGGAACTGTGACAAGTATTAGGAACTCACTCATCAAATTCAAGTTTCCTTTTATTATTTGTTTCCAAAACATGTGAGTTTTTTTTTCCTTAAAAAAAAAAACCCTCAACAACACAACAAAACTGGTGCTTAGCTCTCAGAGGACAAAGCTTCTCTTTGGCTGGCTTTGGCAACCACTCCTTTAGCTTCGGTAGCCTGAATATTTCTTTCTCTAAGAAGAAAGTTAGAGAACATTCAAAGTTCTCGAAGATCTTGCTCTACTACATGCTACTAGCCATAGCCCCAGAGAGAGAACAGAATCCCTTTACCTACTAGTGCCAATCACATCAATCAATAGGCATGGCTTAAGCACTCCCGCAATGTACCGAGAGGTGATTATATAAATACAGAAATGAAACAATCCCTGAAGACAACGTGAATGTCTAAGAATGTACAATGCAAGGTACTTCGGGACAGAAGGGATGGGGAGGCATTACAGTTAGAACCCGGCTGGCATTCCCATCCCGTACTCCCCACGCCAGAGCCTTGCCTGGCCGGGCCAGTTGGTCCCATCCCATTTATTCTTGCCCTAATACCTGCTGGGCAGGAGTTGGGGGTTGGGGGTTGTATGTAGTCAGGCAGCAAGGATTTATTAGGTGCCTACTCTGTGCCAGGCACTGTTAGACGCTGGGGTGGAGGGGAGGGGCTGGGAGAAGGAAAGGTCCCGATTAGAATGCGACCGCTCTGGGTCTCCAAGACATCTGAGGGACCAGCGGTTGTCGTGCGGTTCACACACTGGCGTCTCTGGGAGTCTCGAGATTCTAGTGGAAAGTTTCCTAGAAGAGGGGGTGGGGGTGGGAGTAGTATATTTCTTCGGGGCTCCTGTTGTCTACCCGCAGGGGCTCCCTGGGAAGCTGCGCGGCCCCGGCCCGGGGAGCCCTAGGTGGCATAGGAGGAGGGGTGAGACAGAAGGGGAGGACGAGGCAAGGCAGCTGGGGATGCCACCTCTACCTTCCTAGAGAGAAGCTGACTTAGCCCTGTTCCTGGAGCAGAGTCTGGAGCAGGGACCGTTCGCCACTGGGCTCGGGACTGAGTCTTGGAGACTGAGGTGGAGTGTGTGTGTGTGTGTGTGTGTGTGTGTGTGTGTGTGTGTGTGTGTGTGCGCGCGCGCTCGCGCAATCCATCCCCACCCCACCCCTGAGACTGAGGTGGAGTGTGTGTGTGTGTGTGTGTGTGTGTGTGTGTGTGTGTGTGTGTGCGCGCGCGCTCGCGCAATCCATCCCCACCCCACCCCTGTACCCCCAACCCGGGTTGGGCAGGTATTAACAAATGCGGGGTAGCTATTCTCCTATGCCGGTGTGCAGGTATGCAGCATGCAGCGGGCGCTCGGCTGGGGACGGCGAGGCTGCGGCACCCGGGCTCTACTTGGGAGTGGGTGCTCAGATTTTCATTCAGCCTTGGCCACCCGAGACCACTCCCATTTCATCTCTTCCGACCGTCGGGGAGAGAGAGGCTGCAGAGGGCTTAGGGTCCTGTCCCCATTCCCCAGCAGTGCCCGTCTGTGGCATAGCAGTTCTTTGCGTACTTTCCGTCAATCTACTCCCCCCCCGCCCCCCCCCCCCCCCCAACCCAAGTTGGTCTGCGCCCAGCATCTCACCCGAGGTATTTTTTCCGGAGCAAGATGGTCTCGGCTTTGCTGTACAGTTCACTCATTTCTGAGGCTGCTGGGGACCCAGGCACTTCTGCGGATTGATCAAGTTGGCTTCAAGGTCCCAGTACTGGTACCGGCGGATGGGGTCTGGTCACTTTCCAGCTCCACCTCTGAGCCAGACCCAGTTTCCGGCACTTAACTCCCTTTGGTGTTTGTTGTTTCTTGTTGTTGTTATTAACTCTTCAAACTGCCTTCTGTTGCAGGTTAGTGATAGTATTAGCCAGTTAGTGTCATCTTCCTTTTATATTTTGCCCTGCCTTTGCCCTTTGCCAAACCCCTCCTTCCTCTCCTCCTCCTCCTCCTGGTGCCGCCAATTGCTTGGCCAGTAACCTGGCTTTCAGTTAATTCGCCATCCCCACCCCCATTCCTCCCACCCACCCCAGAATTAATGGTTCTTATCCCTCCCTATCGATTTCTTACTACTCCCTATCCCTTTCCTCTTTTCTCTTTCTATCTTTCCTAACTTTCTTTTCTGGCATCCCTTCTTTCCACTTCTCCCCTTCCTCCCCAGAGAGGTAGTGTCGATTTGAAATCACTGAACTTGAAGTCAGGAGCTGAATCCAGTTTCTGTCACTTGATAGCTGTACACTTTGTCTGAGCCTCATGAACTCATATATATAAATACTTGTCAACCTTAAAGCTACTACATAGATAATTAGATTTTATTATTCAGTTCATTATGCATTTCATTACCATTTTTCTTATTTTCAGATGCAAAAATGCAATGGATAGAAAATATAGAATCTATTGCACTAATCTTTATTATCTGATTTCATGTTTAGTGAACAACTAAACAGTTAACAAGCTAAGGAGGCTAAAGTACGAATGTGCTGTCCTGCTGTACACTAAGATCTAGGGCCACGGTGTGTGGAACAAATTAAAAATCTCCTTTTTAGTTTCTCTAGAAATATGAAGAAATGATAATTTTCTCTAAAGCCCTTTCCAGACTCCTTGGAAAACCCCTTGGAAAAGTGGATGATAGGTGGAGGACAAAAAGGCTTTCAATAGGTGAATGGTGATAATTGGAAATTTAACATTGCTTTTCCTACCCCAAATTGACTAGATTTTTGACTCACCTAAGGGCAATCTCCTTCAGTCCCCAGAAGGGATTAGATTATGATCCACCCTCAAACCACCTCCTATTCTTTTTGAATTCTTGAGACAGATCTTGATCAGTCAATAAACACGTATTGAGTTACTGAGTACCTACTAAGTGCCAGGCATTGTGTTAAACCCTGGGGATACAAATAAAAAGAGGCAAAAGACAGTCTCCACTCTCAAGGAGCTCACAACCTCGTTTATTGGAGGAATCCCCTTGATTCCTAAAGGAGAGTGATCTGGGAGAAAGGGGATGGAAACTCAATTGCTTAATTCTAGAATGCTAACCCAGGCTACATTTTAAGATCTCTTGTTCAAGATTCCTAAAAATGGTGCCTGAAATATCCTTGGGGTCAGATAGTCATATTAGAGGGTATGGCAAACTATACCAATTTGAACATCTCCAAACTAGAAATGGCTTGGATTTTGATATTAAATTAAACTGCTATTGGGAGACTGGTGCCTAAATGCAGAGCACAATAATATTAATATTTCCTCTTTGACAGTTTCAATGAAAATGTGGTGGGGTTATACTTATTTATATTTATTATGAATTGACCATTCCCCTCCCAGATGTTCATCTGATTCTCCTAAGTTTGCCACCATGACTGTCACCCTGAAACATCCTTTTGCCATGTTAAGCCCCTCTTCCAACTAATGAGTTCCTTCTTTCTATTTTGGAATTAATCCTAGGCCAACTTGGGACCCTCTTGCCTGAAGAAGGTTAAAGGATAAGGATTTTGTTCTAGTTTTGAAGATTTCTCCCTACATATGACATAAAGATCCCCAAGAATGAGACTTTTATAACATCTCCCTGGTGGGTGATTGAGGAGGTTGTTCAAAGTCCTCATCTTTTAACGTTACTAAGTTGATCAGACTACTGGTCATATCTATTACATAGACATTATAAAACACTTCCCTCCCCATTTTACGAGCAGCTAGGTGATGCAGTGGACAGAGTGCCAGGCCAAGAGGCAGGAAGACCTGAGTTCAAACCCAGCCTCAGACACTAGCTGTGACCCTGGGCAAATCATTTAACCCAGTTTGTCTCAGTTTCCCCATCAGTAAAAATAATCTAGAGAAGGAAATGGCAAGCCACTCCATAGTATCTTTGCCAAAAACAAATCCCAAATAGGGTCACAAAAAGTTGGACATGACTGAACAACAACTCCTCGATATTACAGATGAGGAAACTAAAGCTTTGAGAGGTTATGTAACATGCCTGTGGTCACTTAGCTAGTGCTTGTCTGAGTCACAATTTGAGCTCAGATCTCCTGACATTAAATTCAATGCTATCCATTGCACCATTAAGGCTCTGTTCTGTGTTCTTCTCTTTACTTTCTGCTTGGTCAGCTCATCAGCTCCCATGGGTTCAGTGATCAATTCTATGAAAATAATTTCCAATTTATATATCTAGTCCTAATATCTCTCTTGAATTATTGTCTCTATAAAAATAACTCCAAGATCTTCAAATCCAGCCTTAATCTCTTTTTGGAATCCTTCATTACCCACTGCCTGCTGGACATCTCCACCTAGATGCATCTCAAATGCAGTGTTTCTGGAATAACTAATTTTATTTTTCCCACAAACTCATCCATCCTTCAAACTTCCTATTTCTGTTGAGACTACCACCATCCTGCTGATTTTTCAACCTTAGAGTCATTCTTGACTCTTTCCTGTTTCTCATCTTTTATATCTAAGCATTTGCCCAGTCTTCAATTCTACCTCCATAGAATCTTTTACTCTTCTTCCTTTCTTTCCATGCAGTCACTATCACAGCAAAGTGGCACAGTGCTGACCTGGAGTCAGGAAGATCTGAGTTCAAATCCTGCCTCTGACATTTACTAGCTATGTGACCCTGGGCAAATCACTTAACTTCCGTCTGCCTCAGTTTCTTCAAATGGGGATAATACTAGCACCTGGCTCCTAGGGTTCTTGTGGGGATCCAGTCAGATAATATTTGTAAAGTGCTTGCTTAGCACAATGCCTGGCATATAGTAGGTGCTTAATAAATGCTTGTTTCCTTCCTTTAGATCTTCATCAGCAATTAGAAGATTGCAATGGCTTAGGTGGTCTTCCTGCTTCCCCTTTCCAATCCACCTTCCAAACACAGCTGCCGAATTGATGTTCTTAAAGCAAAGATCAGACCACTGTCACTCCCCATTCAAATAATGACTCTCTCTTGCCACTTAGGGAAAATAGAAACCCATCAGCCTGGCATTTAAAACCCTCTGCAATCTTTATTACACCTGCCTTTCCGATCTAATTTCCTGTGGCTACCTTTCAGATACTCTCCTTTCTCTCTGATCTCTGTACCTGACATTCTAGCCCCAACCTCAGTTCACTTAGCATAAGCCATCCCCTAGGGCTGGAAGGCAATCTCTCCTAACCCTCCCTATCTTCTTTCAAAGCACAGCTCAGGTACCACCTCTGAGGTGTGACCTTCCCTGGAGGTCTTGGAGGATTCGCCATTTTGGACTGACTCTTAAACTCTACCTGTGCATTGTTTTGTATGCAGTTGTCTATGAATGAGGTATATCCTTCCCAGGCCAGTAAACCCCTTTAGAACAAGGAATCATTTCATTGTTGGCTTTTATATCCTCAGTGTGTGTCACAGTGTCATGATGGATGCTTAATAAATGTTTATGGAATTTAATCAAAAGGTAGCTCTTCTACAGAGATATTTGTACATATACATGTTTATGTCAATACACATGCACATGCATATAGACAGTACACATACACATATATACACATACAACATACAACACACAAATACATACACATGCATATAATACACATATGCTTACATATATACACACACATATAGAGAGTACACACATATACAACATATAACACACATACAAATATATACACACATATACAATACACATATGCTTACATATATACACAAATATATGCACAAAGACATACACATATATACCCATACATATATACAATACACATATACATATAGCATTTGTAGCACGCATCCACACTCAACCCTGGGAAGTAGACAGTGTGAATATCATCACCCTCATTTAACAGATGATTTCTCCAGAACAAACAGCCAGTGTGTGGCTGAATCAGGGCTTCCAATTACAACTCTTGTGTTATATCTACTATTCCACCCTGTGGTATTGCTTTAATGGTTGTTTAATGTTCAGTGCCTTTATCAATTTAACATTTTTATTCTGCTGTTTGTATGGATAGCATGCATATGTATTTTGTTTTTTAATTTAAGGAGGTTAGCTGTGTGACCCTGGACAATCATTTCACCTCTGTCTGCCTTAGTTGCCTCATCTGTGAAATGGGGATAATCACAGCACTACCTCCTAGGGGTGTGTTTTAAGGATAAAATGAAGTAATATTTAAATACTTTGTAACCCTTAAAGTGCTATTAAAAATGCTAGCTCTTTTATTCTCTTTGTATAGTGCCTAGTGTAGGATGAAGTACAACTAAACACTAAGTGAGCTTTTCTTTTTGTTGCTACATCCTTAGCATGTATTGATTCTAAAGCTAAAAACGACAATCAGTTTACCCTGGCCCTGAGTTCAATTCCCTTCTCTGGCATTTACTGTCTTTGTGACCTTGGACGCATCATTTCACATCTTTGACCCTCATTTCCTCACCTGTAAAACTAGGGGTTTGGATTCCATGGTCTCTGATGTCCCATCCTACTCCAGGGCTAGGATTCTATGGTCCAATTTACTTAAGGGACAAGGAAATTAGATCTTTTGTCAAGAAACAATTCACAGGAATCCAGAAGCTCCCTGACTACATTAATTTTACCATACTAGTCTTTGCATGAGGCAGTCAGGGTTAAGTGACTTGCCCAGGGTAGAACAGCTAGTAAGTGTCAAATATCTGAGGCGGATTTGAACTCAGGTCCTCCTGATTCCAGGGCTAGTGCTCTATCCACAGCACCACCTAGCTACCCCTACAATACTAGTCTTAATATACCTTTAATATGCGTCCCCTTTAAAGGAATCTTTGCCCTTTTGCATGAAATCAATATACATGCATAAACTAAAGAGAAGTTAAGTCAATAGCTCACTTTCTCAAAAAGTAAAAAAAAAATAATGGTTATGT